CCAGACCAACGGCTGAGGTACCATCTAGGGTAACTAAAGTGTCTGCAAGTTGTCAGACAAACTTAACTTGGGTAAATACAGAATCTCCTAAACCTTTCTCGCCTGCTACATCTACACAAACTAGAAACTCACCTCCTGGTACATCTCGAATCCAGTCAGAGACGTCGTCCCGTGATCATGAACCATCTTCTCAGTCGTCAACAAAGTCTCAACAAGATATCACTAAACCCAAAAGTAACAAGCCAGATTTATCTAAAAAGCTAAGTGGCAGAGCCCCAAAAGGGTCGCAAAATAAAATTCAATTATACAACAAATATGGATCTCTTGAGGCCATGGACGTATCTGAAAACGTCCATTCTAGGGCACATAGCTTGTCGCCCTCCAATCAAGTGCGGGGTAGATCCCCAATAAATCCCCCCGAAAAGATAATGTCTTCTAATTATCTTGTACAGTGGAACTGCAGAGGGCTAAGGAATAATTTCAGTGATTTGCGGCTATTAGTCCAGGACTTCACACCATCAGCCATTTGTCTTCAGGAGACATATTTAAAACAGACGGATACATTTGACCTACGCCATTTCAATGTATACCATTCTTTTTCACCCCCGGGTGATCGGGCCACTGGAGGATCTTCGATCCTTATCAAACAGAATATTATCCATAGCCCTGTTGTACTTAATACTGGTCTCCGGGCGGTTGCCGTACCACTGACGTTACATGTTGCGTTCACATTATGCTCATTGTACATCTCACCGTCTTCAACTCTTTAGAAGACTGACCTTCAAAATTTATATGACCAACTCCCAAAACCTTGTATCATTATGGGAGATTTAAATGGCCACAACCTGCTCCGGGGTGGTAGAACAACTAATGCTAAAGGTAAACTATTAGAAGACTTTTGTTCAGATAATGATTTATGCATATATAATGACGGTTCTAGCACATATTTACATCCTGGCACATGAACTTATTCAGCTCTTGATTTATCGATTACTGACTAAGACTTATTGAGTGAATTTGAGTGGACAGTCCACGACGACCTGTGTGGAAGTGACCATTTCCCAACAATACTACAACCCGTGAATCCATCTGATGTTCCTCCATCATCAAGATGGAACCTTAAGAAGGCTAACTGGCCTTTATATGAAACTTTCTGTGCTGACAAAATCAAACCTGAACTTTTTCATGATCTTCCTGATGCCATCAAATGTTTTTCAGATGACCTCGGACACATAGCTGACAAGTGTATCCCCAAATTCTCTGCAGTTCCTCATGTACGTAAACCATGGTTTAACGCTGAATGCAAACAAGCTCGCAAGGCACGGAAGAAAGCTGAACATTAGTTCCGTTGCCATCCTATGGTCCACAATTTAAACAAATTTAGAATTTTAAACGCTAAAGAACGGCGTACTTTTAAACAAAGTAAACGCCAATCTTGGCGACACTATGTCTCAAACATCAATTCACGCACGCCGATATCAAAGGTGTGGAACCTGATCCAGAAAAAAAAGGTAAGGGCTCTAAATCTAGCATTAAGCATCTCAAAAATGGAGATGAATTATTAACTGATATATCTGACATGGCAAATAAACTTGGAGAAACTTTGGCCAAACATTCTTCCTCATCTAACTATGTACCTGAATTCCAGAAATATCAAGGACAGCAGGAAAAGAAATCTATTAATTTCAATTCAGACAATGGGGAAGACTACAATGAAACCTTTTCGATACATGAGCTTCATACTGCTCTTGACCAAGCTCACGATACTTCTTCAGGAGCTGACGGTATACATTATCAACTCCTGAAACACTTACCTGAATCATGTTTAGAGACGCTCTTATCTATTTTTGATGACTTTGGACATCTGGACAATTTCCTTCGTCGTGGCGTGATGCTATAATTGTGCCCATCCCTAAACCTGGACGTGATCATACTGATCCTTCCAATTATAGGCCAATTTCACTAACTAGCTGCGTTTGCAAGACCATGGAACGCATGATAAATAATCGACTTGTTTGGTACTTGGAAACCAATAACCTAATAACAGATATACAATGTGGTTTCCGTAAAAAACAGAAGTACTGTCGATCACTTGGTGCGTTTAGAATCATTTGTTAAAAATGCTCTAATTAATAAACAACATGCTGTGTCTATCTTTTTTGATCTAGAAAAAGCATATGACACTACGTGGAAATATAGCATTTTAAAAGATTTACATGACTTCTGATTGCGAGGCCGTTTGCCTCAATTTATAGCGAACTTTTGAACTGACAGACAATTTCAAGTCCGCGTGGGATCTACCATGTCTGATCATTACAATCAGGATCAGGGTGTCCCACAAGGCAGTATTTTGTCTGTCACATTGTTTAGTATCAAGATCAACAGTTTATCCAAGGTTTTAAATGATTAAATCGATGGATCACTTTTTTGTGGATGATTTTAATATTTCTTGTCGTGGTAAAATATGCATACTATTGAACGACAACTGCAGTTGTGTTTAAACAAGATAAATAAATGGTGTCTGGAAAACGGCTTTAAATTTTCAAAATCCAAAACTAATTGTATACATTTCTGCCGTAAATACAAACCGCATAAAGACCCTGAACTATCTCTAAATGGCACACCCATCAAAGTTGTTAAGGAGGCCAAGTTTTTGGGTTTAATTTTTGACTTGCACCTAACGTTTTTGCCACACATTAAATCCCTTGAAACTAAATGCCCGAAGGCACTTGACTTGTTGAAAGTTGTTTCCAACTCAAAGTGGGGAAGGGATCAAGCTACCCTCCTTCACCTATATCGATCATTGGTCCGCTCGAAAATTGATTATGGCTCCATCATAAATAGTGGAGCCTGCAAAAGCAACTTAAAGCTCCTAGATTCTGTTCATCACCAAGGTCTAAGACTTTGTCTTGGATCCTCCAGAACTTCTGTTGACAGTCTCTACGTCGAGGCAGATGAACCATCTCTTACACAACGCCGTATAAAATTGTCCTTGCAGTATATCACAAAACTTAATTCTATTGAATCTAACCCTGCATTTCATTGTGTCTTTAACCATCTCTATGAGGATTTATACAACAAAAAACCTTCTCTTGTTCCGCCTCTTGGTTTAAGAATTCAACCATTCATTTCTGCTGCCTGCATTGAGCTGGAAAATATATCTCCTTCCCGTTTTCTTTCTTCTCCGCCTTGGCAATTGGTTAGGCCACAACCATTTAAAAACTCAGAAACAAATGAATTACAGTATAAACAAGAATTTAGTCAATTAAGAAATAAATATAATACATACACATCCTTATTTACAGATGGATCCAAGGACGGAGGCGCAGTGGCATGTGCCACTGTTATTGGATCCAGAACAATATCTTCTAGAATACCGGATAACAGCTCCATATTTACAGCAGAAGCAAACGCCATCTTAACAGCTTTTAAATATATTAATAAACACCGTAAATATAAACAATATATCATCTTTTCAGATTCTCTTTCGTGTCTTCAGGCTATTAAAAATCTTTCTTGCAAACATCCACTTTTATTAGAAATTATTGAATTGTACAATGAACTTGCTACTGGCCAATGCGACATCGTCTTTTGTTGGCATTTCTGGGAACACCATGGCTGACCTTGCTGCCAAGGCAGCACTCAACAAGTCTGTGACACCACTTCTTATCCCATATTCTGATTACAAAGCTAGCATTAGAACCTTCATCCGTGATTTGATGCAGAAGAAGTGGGACACCCAAGTAGGTATTAATAAATTACACGCAATAAAACCTTATGTTGGTTATACCTACTTGGGTTGTCAGTCCAGATTTGTAAGAGGTCATCATGCGGCGATGTCGCATTGGCCATACTAGATATGCTCATGAATATTTATTGAAAGGCGCAGATCCTCCGTTTTGCATCCCTTGTGATGAAAGAATCACAGTCAAGCATGTCTTGCTTGACTGCATTGAATATTCCATCACAAGGGATAACTATTTCAAAGTAAACACTATGAAGGATCTTTTCAATAATGTCAGTTCTCATTTAATTATTGCATTTTTAAAAGAATTAGATTTGTTAAGTGATTTGTAAATAGATATATATTTTATTGTTGGTAATTGGAATTAGTAACTGAGATTGTTAGTGGCTGTACTCTCAAAGGGGGTTGAAGTAGCGTAAAATTATTGTCCTCCTGCTAGGGTACGTAAGTTCCAAAACATTTCAAGTCAGTTTAAGTGTACCAGGTTTTTAATCGTAGTATTTTTGTGTGTTTAATGTATGGCTAAATCTCAGCATCAACGCCAATGGCTGAAGGGATGGTGTAAATCCAGCTAGGGTCCATGCAGGTAGCAAAAGTCCCCATGGGACTTAGTATGGTGATCTACCTTCAGTTGTTGGCGATCTATAGTCCATTTTTACATTGTATTGTCTTCTTTAATTGAAATATTTTAGCTTTGTTCGCTAGTTTTATATTCATATCTGTGATTATGTAGTATTTTTACTGTCCTTCGTCGGCAGGTTTGTATAATATATATATTCTATTTCAATGTCAAATGTTCTCGTCACGATATGGCTGAAATATTGCCGATGTGACGTTAAATAATAACTCACTCACTCACATTTAACGTACTTAACTCAGAACGTCAAGGGGCGGTGGGGTAGCCTAATGGTTAAAGCGTTGGCTCGTCACGCCGAAGACCCGGGTTCGAATCCCCACATGGGTGCAATGTGTGATGCCCATTTCTGGTGTCCCCCGCCGTGATGTTGCTGGAATATTGCTAAAAGCGGCGTGAAAGAAAACAAACTCAGTCAATCAGTCAGTCAGTCAGAACGTCACTCAATGCATCTATAAGGCTGGAGTGAGGACGTTTTGGGACATCACAATCAACACCTACAAGGTATATATAATCAGTATGTTATAAAGAGTGGATGACAACGAGGAGCAATAGTTGTTTATTTCGGCATGTAGAAACATACACACAAAACGTTGCATTGAATTGAAATGATATGCGGAAACTCAGCAACTATATAAAACACGTGAAATATTTCTATCACCCTCTAGTAATTTCTTTCAGTCATTTAGATCTCTTTGTAGCATACCTAACACGAAAATGTAATATTGGATGTGGTAGAATTATCAATTATGAATCGCCCCGCGCCAGGAGTTGAAATACAGTGTCCGCTAACAGACAAATTAGCAAATAGCCAATCAGTCACATATCCGTTGGGTTTATTGCCTGCTATTTCATTCCTGAGTTGACCAGTACTTGGCTGTGATCCAACTGAGACATCGATAAACCGGACGTTGGAGGAAGTACCACGTGTCCCTGCCGGCATTGTCCAGAAAACAAAACGAGGACACAAACCTTCCAGACGAATGTTTTGAAATACTAATTGACTCATGTTGATGACTCTGACGTTTCCAGCCAGATCGAACACTGCATCGTTTCTACTTAACATGTCACATTCCGGGCCGCGGAAAGTACACCAGTCCATGTGAATGACGTCAATATTGGTGATCTTCACTCTGTGAAGGTCACGTTCAGCCCACCAGCCTGTTTGGAAAACGGCGCCATTTTGCATTTGCCAGATGACCACTCTCTGTATCGTCATATCATTGTTGTACACCTGAAACGTAATGGGATATCTGATCATTATCGTAGTAAATAATATCATCTACATACATGGAGTTTAAGGGTTTCTTCTGCGCGGGAATTCTTTTTCATGTGCATACACATTTATCAACACTCTGTTGATCTTATCCTTCAATTATGGTTGTATTGCCTAAAGTAATGTTTCAATCTGTGGCCCTAGCAATAAACAAAACTATATATATTAGAAACATGACGGATTGATAATTGATAATTAATCTGTAACCATAATTATGCAAACCCACAGAGTTGTTAGATGCTAAAGTGTTACATTACCTTGATTGAGTCATCATTGGCCATGATAAAGACGTCCGCCACTACGCCTCCTACTCCCATCTCAATGCCGTCGCTATTGTATGGCCAGGCACCCACCATCTTAACCTGTTTGATTATGTTGTTTGGACTTTCAGCGAATATGAAAAACTGCTGGGGGTCGCTTAACGTGATACCTTCAATTGTGTGATTGGTGCCTCGTGCAGTGTTGATCAATGACCATTGAAATCGTTTGTCATGGAATTTGTACTTTCGGCCTGAACAGATTCCTCTTCCATGGATCTTGACCGTTGTGTTGTCCTCGGTGATGAACCCTCCATCGACAAAAGCTCCGGCACTGATGTACACTTCTTTAATGCTGGAGTTTAAACTGACTTGACCACCAAGATATATAATGCACACCCACATCAAAGAACAGAACGGAAGGGTCACTCTTAGAGGGAACATCTCTCTCCAGAGGATCAGCAAATATCAGCAACTTGTCGACTATTTCGGACTTCCAACTGCCGTAGTCATTATCAAACTCTACAGACATCATGCTAGAATTCCGAGTCACTGTAAACCTTGCCGTATTGATCCCGACCCTACTACAAGCGTATCCGTAACTTGCTGGACGAACCAGACAGTGACTGAAGTCGGTCAGCGTTCTGACCTCAACCACTACTGGACCACTACTGAACGCAAAAGACGACCAGGACACAGAGCGGTTGGGGTGAACATAGGGAATCTCGGCATGTCTGTGATTCGAGGTCGTCTGGTAAGTGAAGGTACTCAATAATGGATCCCCAAGACCAACCAAAACCTCATACTTATCTGATGCCTCCATGGTCGGAGGTGCAGGATATATGACCAGCTCGGACACACACCCGCCCACAACAGCCATTACTAAACAGATTGCTGAAAGAATCTCCATGGCGTTTGTCGGTTATTTATCAGAAGCAGGATCAGATAACGAGTTTATGAGAATATACGTGATACTGGTCAGGCTCAGTGAACTGGGTTCATTGTGTGTCATTGTACCCTGCGGGAGAATAATTCCTTTTAACGACAATCTCTTGACTCGATTATTTTCATGCCGAGCTGGGGATGCGCTGTAAACAACATGCACACAGAGCAGTAATTTGTGAAGACTGAGGGGACCTATGTACAGCAGTCTTAAACAAGTAAACACAACTAAAGGTAATCTATCAGAGTGTTTACCCTTATATCCTGTATCTCTAATCACTGTGGCCTAGACGACGGGTGTTCCATCTGACAAATACCTTTCTGTTTATCTATGTATACAAGATAACGTATACAGAGTGTGTCTCAGGTTACATTTCTCTATGTCATAACATATTGTTGCATTGCAGATAAAGAAAAGTACTGACAGGTGTTCCAATGTAATGCCATTGCCGATAAGTCTCTCGAAACATGATTGTATATGAAGCCTCACCGACTAAACCATACATTTCAAGGGCATGTGCACCAGCTGTCAGCCCATTAACGCTGCATACGAACTGGAATTTCTGCTCAAAACTAAATTGACGCCCAAAAGAAACTTTTCCACTTTAAACATGAAATTGCAAAAATCAAAGTTCAAGGTAAATCAATGCAAAACACATCAACACACACAATACTGTTGTATCTATACACAGAAAGGCAGACACGTTCATACACCTCTTCAAACCTAACAAACAATAACAATGGAGCCATGCCAGCATCAATGTCACGTGATTCACCGTCAGGCTACCCATACAGAACACGCTATCCACAGAAACAATATATCTGACCGAGATGTTGAAATGCACGTCTTGTATGGGCTAATATACTCGTTATCCGATTCTATACATATCAAGCGACGTGATAAAAGATTCCGTGAAGTAGATTCATTATCAGGCAGCCATTCATCTTAGTGAAGTCACCGACAAACGCCATGGAGATTCTTTCAGCAATCTATTTAGTAATCACAGTTGTGGGAGGGTGTTGCAATAAAATTGTAGTTATTATTCAGATCTGTCTTCTGTAGACAAATGTGTGGATTTAGGCGACTCCAACTCTTGATGTTCCTCCACTTGAGGATGTGTTGCCTTCATAGCTGTGAAGCCCTTCCTCAGTGCATGTTTCTCAAACTCTGCCACTTGTCGTCGTACAACTTGCAGGTAAATCTGCGTAGAGCTAGTGTAACTGCTTTCGCTGCTCTGGCAGAGTATTCTCTTTTCGTCAAGCAAATCTTGATACGCTCCGTGCGTGTAGCTGGCACACTGTGAGGTTCCCGTGTGCTTGCTTAGTGTGCGGATGTATCAGCAGGTTCTGCCACTCTGGGAGTTGCAGTTATGGACTTCCAAATTCTTGTGTGAGAATAGGAAACCACATTCTCGCTGGCCAGTAAGGCGCGACCAAATCAGTTGCAGCTTCCTCGTCTGCTTGATTTTCTGCAACACCTGTGGTATAAGAGCTGGAGGTGGAAACGCCTAAGCGTTTAGTCCTACCCTGGAGATGCTTAGAGCATCTGTTGCCCATGCTTGTGGATCGAGAATCGGAGAGACGAATGTTGGTAGCTGTTTGTTGAATTTTGTTGCAAACAGGTCTATTAGCGGCAATCTAACGTCTGTTCTGTATCTAAAGGCTTCTGGATGTAGCATCCATTCCGTCGGGCATGGTTGTGTTGGAGGAGATAGGGCGTCTGCTATCACATTCTATCACATGTTCAAGTCATCTATTATGCTGAACAGATGAAAGCTGAGGTCTAGTAGATATCTTGACCTTGTTGATCTTTGTTTGTTGATGTAGAACGCCACTGTGTCCGTGTGGATCATCAGTTGTGCACTCCTTAGTATGCTGGACCAGTGTAGTAAGGTCCTACTGCTTTCATCTGAAGCATGTTGATATGCAGACTGCTCCTGACTCGACCATTTCCTTGCTGCCACTTCATTGTCGAGGTGAGCTCCCCAGCCTTGAAGTGATGCATCTACGTAGAGATGAGTGTTGCACTCCGCTCTGATAAGTAGATTCCTCCGCAAATATTCGACTTCCGAGTCTACCATAGAAAATATGGTTTCAATCCGTCCGGTAGTCCGAAGGAGTCCAGACTATTGAAACGGGCGTTCACGAACACCTATAGTGGGCGTAATTGTAGTCTTCCTGAGAGTCACGTCTTGTGCTGACGTGAGAAGACTGAGTAGGCTCTGCCAACTTCGTAGTGGTTACGGAGAGAGTAGTGCTTGAGATACGACGGCTTGTATCTAGACACAACGATCCTCTGAGACGACCTTCTCATTCTGTGGTGAGATGAAACATTTTCCCAGAATCTGCTCATGTTCTATGTTGTAATAAAGTAGACAGTGGAATCCTTGCTATGTCCGTAAAGGAAGAGAAGCAACCTCCGGATCTGGGACTGCATCGTTGTGAAGTCTATATATAGTAGACTGGCTGCCGCGAACAAAATTCGTCAATGTATGTTGCTGCAATTCGCCGGATAAACAGTCTTCAATCTGCTGACAGGGAAGGTCTCTAAATCCCGTGAAGACAGTCAAATCATGCTGTACCCTGCTAACTGGACTGTAAATGGAGCCCTCCTCCCACGTTGAAATGTTGTTTACAATCTGTAGACAACTTCCTGACATGTGAGCCGACGTCCGACTTCTGCGGGCGTTGTCTCTCATGGACCAATCAAAATGCAGCATTTTGATTCCTTTCAGATTCCCGCGATGTGACGTCACGGTGTTGCAGGAAAAAGATCCTTGTAAAATCTTGTGCAGTCGTTGATTTCTTCATCAACACTCGGCCTTGTCCGTAACCTCCCGAAGTTACACGAGTGACCACGTGTATAGAAGGCTGAATGGTAAACGCGCGAAGGATTTCGCCGCGTAATACCGATGTAGGTAGACTGTCTCCCTGGCTGCTGTGACTGTTCCTTCATTCCTGAAGATAATGCAGTCGTCATCTTATACAGATAATCAGCTGAAATTCCATACTTGCTTATCGCTGTTACTTATTCATCGGTCTCAATGAAGCGCCGTAGAATACCCCCTTTGTGTTGAATACACAAAGGTTTTTGTAGAGTTGATACTTGCAACTTCAGTGTAAGTTCTACCACGGGAGTCGTTGATGATCTTGCAGTTCACATCAATCTCTGGAGCCTTCAAGAAGGGTTCCATGTGAAGTAGCGGGAAATCCCTGGCTTGGACGTCGGGGATATGTTGACTGTGGAACTTCATAGCCTCGCCAAGGCTGCGCTGAAATTCTCCGGTATTATCAATCAAGTCGTTAGCTCTGAACCGCGACGACGTGACTGCCTGAAGATCTGCCCATTGGTGAATGATCTGTATATGGACATGAGTCCCTCCTTGATTCTTAAGAAACATCTTTTAACCTTCGTGAAAGTGTAGGTTCTCAGCGTCGATGAGTGTTTGTGTGCAGTTAATCCCGCTACCATCTTCTGGTGTAGATATATCGTTTTGAAGATCTCCCTGAAGATCTGTATGACGATCTGTGCGCAGATGATGAATCCAGATAAGAGTACCCCTCTTAAACCTTGAGACGTATCTCTCTGTCTTCGCGCAGGCGAAGATTTCTTTCTTCGCGTAGGCTCAGAACGAAGGATCCAGGTCTGAGGGTGAAGTGTTCAAGTCATCTATTATGCTGAACAGATGAAAGCTGAGGTCTAGTAGATATCTTGACCTTGTTGATCTTTGTTTGTTGATGTAGAACGCCACTGTGTCCGTGTGGATCATCAGTTGTGCACTCCTTAGTATGCTGGACCAGTGTAGTAAGGTCCTACTGCTTTCATCTGAAGCATGTTGATATGCAGACTGCTCCTGACTCGACCATTTCCTTGCTGCCACTTCATTGTCGAGGTGAGCTCCCCAGCCTTGAAGTGATGCATCTACGTAGAGATGAGTGTTGCACTCCGCTCTGATAAGTAGATTCCTCCGCAAATATTCGACTTCCGAGTCTACCATAGAAAATATGGTTTCAATCCGTCCGGTAGTCCGAAGGAGTCCAGACTATTGAAACGGGCGTTCATGAACACCTATAGTGGGCGTAATTGTAGTCTTCCTGAGAGTCACGTCTTGTGCTGACGTGAGAAGACTGAGTAGGCTCTGCCAACTTCGTAGTGGTTACGGAGAGAGTAGTGCTTGAGATACGACGGCTTGTATCTAGACACAACGATCCTCTGAGACGACCTTCTCATTCTGTGGTGAGATGAAACATTTTCCCAGAATCTGCTCATGTTCTATGTTGTAATAAAGTAGACAGTGGAATCCTTGCCATGTCCGTAAAGGAAGAGAAGCAACCTCCGGATCTGGGACTGCATCGTTGTGAAGTCTATATATAGTAGACTGGCTGCCGCGAACAAAATTCGTCAATGTATGTTGCTGCAATTCGCCGGATAAACAGTCTTCAATCTGCTGACAGGGAAGGTCTCTAAATCCCGTGAAGACAGTCAAATCATGCTGTACCCTGCTAACTGGACTGTAAATGGAGCCCTCCTCCCACGTTGAAATGTTGTTTACAATCTGTAGACAACTTCCTGACATGTGAGCGACGTCCGACTTCTGCGCAGGGCGTTGTCTCTCATGGACCAATCAAAATGCAGCATTTTGATTCCTTTCAGATTCCCGCGATGTGACGTCACCGGTGTTGCAGGAAAAAGATCCTTGTAAAATCTTGTGCAGTCGTTGATTTCTTCATCAACACTCGGGCCTTGTCCGTAACCTCCCGAAGTTACACGAGTGACCACGTGTATAGAAGGCTGAATGGTAAACGCGCGAAGGATTTCGCCGCGTAATACCGATGTAGGTAGACTGTCTCCCTGGCTGCTGTGACTGTTCCTTCATTCCTGAAGATAATGCAGTCGTCATCTTATACAGATAATCAGCTGAAATTCCATACTTGCTTATCGCTGTTACTTATTCATCGGTCTCAATGAAGCGCCGTAGAATACCCCCTTTGTGTTGAATACACAAAGGTTTTTGTAGAGTTGATACTTGCAACTTCAGTGTAAGTTCTACCACGGGAGTCGTTGATGATCTTGCAGTTCACATCAATCTCTGGAGCCTTCAAGAAGGGTTCCATGTGAAGTAGCGGGAAATCCCTGGCTTGGACGTCGGGGATATGTTGACTGTGGAACTTCATAGCCTCGCCAAGGCTGCGCTGAAATTCTCCCGGTATTATCAATCAAGTCGTTAGCTCTGAACCACGA